ATACAATTCCTTTCATACCCGAATACATGATTTAACATAATTAGGCAGGTCTAGGACTTCAAAGATTTCATTATACCATTCTATAAACACAGTTAGAATAGAATAGAATAGAATAACAGAGTTGGAAGGGACCTTGGAGGTCTTTTAGTCCAATCCTCTGCCTGGAATTAAGTTCAGTTCACTTTATTGAAACTTATTACTGGCTTACATGCACTTGGAACTGCATTAGAAATTGAAAGAACTCCTAAGCTATTTATTTTGCAATGCAATTGTCTGAGTACAATTACCACAAAAGTCATCTGGCAACTGCCTTATAACACAATTAGCAATACAAATCAATTGTCAGTACTTGAAGAAGCACAAATGAGACAGTTCTTTTCCTAAGAATGTTTTTATATCTCCATAAGGAAATGGCTTGCTATGACACAGTAGTATCACAAGGGAATGGCAAACTGAAACTATGAGAAGGCTTTCATTTCATGCTGGTGTAGAATAACTATGCGTACTTATTCCAGCTGTCTTTCAGCCCTGTCTATCAAATACAATGCACTGGCTACTTCTGTGTTGGCCAAGATGACTATGTAAGCTTGTAAACTATGTAAGCTATGTAAAAAATTTTTTAAAGATAGATGTACAAAATATCTTAAAAACAGATGAGAATGACCTCATAATACCTATTGCAATGAATACGTTCTGCTGATTCTTCCTTTTGCTCACTTTAGACTAGAATCGCTGGTTTCTCTAGCCCTTATCCTGAGCCATCAAAGTTAACAAATTATCTTAATTTGTTGGCTGCCTTCCAGGAGCTGAAATTGGTATATGTAGACCTCCATCTTCCAATTTCTCCCCACAACAATCCTGTCAATTAAATGAATTTGAAAGATAGTGACTGACATAAAGTCATTTAGTAAACTCTATGATGAAGGTAGCCTTGGTCTCTTGCTATGCTGAGCTTTCTTTAAAGAACTCAGTACATCAGCTTTTAATCTTAGTGATTCAGGAATCCAGTCTGGACTATAAAGCTGATATCATTTTTAAAAATATGCAAGTGTTTTATCTTTTATCTTTTTCCTCAACCTGGTTTACCCCAAACTTTGTTTCTGAAGTTTCTGAAGCCTCTGAGAAAGCTCTTGTCTTAAACTGGAATGAAAAAGAGTTGTCAGCTAGGATTGCCTTTTTAAAGTAACAGACTAATACCAGTACAATTGACTGGAAGACTGGAGCCAGAATATGTTTATTTAGATTTTATATTATGATTAATCACATTTAATTTATTTAATATATACTGCCCACAACCCCCAAATGACACTCAGTGGCTTACAATTAAAAACAAACTTAAAGAAAAATGCAACAGACCAAATGAGCACAGTACAAAATTAAAAACAAAGCAAAACCAAGCTGAAAAGAAAGCTCCAAAACTCCTCTGGCTGCAAGGCCTGAGAGAACAACCACATCTTCGAAAGTTTCCTGAATGGAGGAGCCACACAAATCTCTGGAGGGAAGAACATCCCACAGGTCAGGAATTGGAACAAAGTAGATGTATTTCTGGGTCCTGCAATGTGAAATTCTTTAGCTTATGGAATCCAGAATACAGCTTCCCAACTGAATGGACCTGGAGTTGGGGAGCATAGACAACAAGAACATCTGATGGTGATAACTTGATGTATAAGATTCGAAAATGGCATAATTTTGAGGAAGGACGTTTCCTTTATTTCATTCTTATTTTTATATTTATATCATAAAATGTTCAGTCAGCTGTGTACTTTTTTCACCAAAGCCATGTATTAGTATCGTCTCTTTCAAAAATAAAATGCTGCATTTCTGGTTTTTATTGCTGAATTTTTAGATATGTGGACTGACATTGTTAAAATGATAAACTAATATAGAAAAACTGTAGAAGCTTGAGGATGTTCTCTTCAATAAAAGAGCATTACATAAATCTCCTGTTTAATCACACCATTCACATCACATACTGTACATTTGGCTGAAAAACTATAGTTTAGAATTAGGTCTTCCCTGCTTTAGAAGTATTTATTAGTTAATATATATTTTATTCTTCCAGGTACTGATGAAGGTTTGTCATCTAATAAACTACATTAGTTTGAATATGGTATACATATAAAATATTGTCTGTCTGTCTGTCTGTCTATCTATCTATCTATCTATCTATCTATCTATCTATCTATCTATCAATCTATCTATCATCTATCTATCTATCATCTATCATTTATTTATCATAGGTGTAGCATATATCAAAGGATCACAACTTTTTCCAGAGCAAGGATCTCACTTTACTTTTGTATGTATGACTGAGGCTAAACTCTTAAAGGTCGCATGTGGAGTCAACCTCAGTTCCCACATTTGACTGGAATTAATTAACATTTACACTTTAATTTAATTTAAATTAAATTACTTTCCAATCTTGCATATAATAATTTTCCCTTCTACCACATTATCAACTGCAGTTTTTGTACAAAATTGGAATTCACCCAGGATTTGGGGCTACATCTGGTTTGGGGCCTCATGTTTTGTTCACCTGCTAAACATTACTGTTAAAATCTGACATAAAATTACTTTTTCAATGGCAATTTTATAACAAAAAATCTTCTCCATGAAAAGATGTCCAGTAATCTTAAGGAAAAGTTTTAAAATTATTTTGGGATCACTTTACTGTGTGCTATTAGACTGACAGTAAGTGGCTTATTATGCTGTAATGTGTTATAATCAAGAGCCTACTTCAGAAAGCAATATATGCATCAGACAATTAAATACTCTGAATTTAGGGTATCTATTTTTAAATACATTCCTATTTAAAAGAGTAAAGATATGTGGGAATAATTTTAGGGACGTTGGAGGAGAAATATTGTTTGAGAAAGGGATAGATAAGAGAGAACCTAGCCCACAGCTGTATAATGGGCAAAGCAAGACACACAGAAAAAAAAACTTTCCTAATTTCACAAGCTGTAATAAGACAGTGGGAGATTTGTACTGTAAGACATGCAAAATTCTGTTAATGTAGCCTTAACTCCTTAATTACGTAGTTGAATTAGCTCATTTGGTCATGTTTTCTGTCTGGTCTATCTGACAAAGGTTGATAAAAAGTGAGTTTAAATGTAGTAGGCGAGATACTCTGTTCCTTCATCATAATGGCTTTTGATATAAAGGTCTAGAAGGCTGGTTCTTTATATAACTTGTCAAAATCCTCCCACACTCTTTCAGGGGATCCTCCAGCTCTTCTTAATAGATGATAAAGAAATACAGGAAATGTATTATTTAAAAATTAAATTTATATTCCCGGGGGTATCTTCACTGGGGTGCATCAGGGCTGGGTTCTACAAACTTTACTACCAGTTTGCAGCGGGGCACAAGCACTCTTCTGCGCAAGCGTTTTGATGATGTCGGTGGGCGGAGCCTCCCGCCAGTTTTACTACCGGTTCTATAGAACCGGTGCGAACCGGGGGCAACCCACCACTGACTTGCATACATATTAAATCATTCAACCTCCTCACAGAACACTCTTCTGTCACTCTCACTCTTCATCAGCTTCTAGAAATCTAGCTGATTTAGCTTCAACTATTCCATAGAAGTGGAAAAACAGCACCAGTAGTCCTCAGCCTCCTTTCCCTTATAAAATGGGGAACCCCCCTGAAGGTTTTTCTGAGTTTCCTACTGATAGGAATAATTCTGATAGGAAAAGACAGTCCTGTAGGTACCAAGGTGCATAGCTATAAAGGTTTTGTAGATTAAAACCAACACATTGAATTGCAGCTAGAAATCTACTTGTAAGTTAATGCAGGACCATGACACAGGTATAATGTGCTTATGGAAATAAATGTCACACCTGGGATTCTACTATATTTGAATAAAGAACCTATCTCAAGTTGTCCTCAGGCAAGCTGAAAACTAGAGCATATTGATAGGAACTTTATTAAAAAGTGAAAATGTCACATTTTGTGGATTGATAAGAGTTGCCCATATAAAGAAAATGGCTTATGCAAAAGAATTTCAATTGATTTCCAAACCAATTAATCTTGCTTTAACTGAAGAATCAGAAACTATAAAACTTCATAGTAATTCAGACATAGATGATATATGTTTATGAAGGATCAGAATTGCAGTATATTTGCTACATATAAGTTTATATTGTTATTGGCTATCCGGGCATATGTTAATGATTTCAGAGCAAAATCAAGTAAGCCAGGAGGGAGACAACAGTAAATTAGAATTGACCATTTTCCTCATTTGAGAGTAATCTATAGAGTAAGGCATACCAGTTGCAGGTGGAAGTATGTTGGATTCCAACACACAGACCCCCCCCAAAAAATATTCTAGAAACCTCAATCTTTTTTTATTTTTATGCATTCCCACTGCTTACTTAATTAGTCACTATTCCAGGCTAAATAGATAAATTTATCTGAACAGAAGGCAGAATACAGACATTGTAAACAGGCAATTATAATCAATGGATACTATGAAAGTTAAAAATGGGAAATCGGTATCTACTCTTCAAAGAGAAGGAATGCAAGAGGATATGAGAGGCTTAAGAACTGACTTGTTATCATTCTGAACTGTAATTCCTGATTATTCAGAAACTCAGATATTTGCTATGACTATTATTTCATCCTGTAAGTATAAGTCAAATTAATGTAATTGTAATCTTTAATTGTAATCTTCTAAATTTTTAAAATTTATCTTATTTTTTAAACTTCAAAAACAAAAGTGTTTTCCCATGGAAATCTCACTTTATATTTATCTGGACCCTTATTACATTTGTAACTTTCTAAAAAACAAAGTTTTAACTACCCATTTGCTGTTTTATTCTCAATTCTTTTTAAGGTCATAAACTTGTAGTTGCTAAGGATTGAAAGAAACTAACCCAATGTGTCAAACCTGTTGATCCAAAGTTCTCTAATAGCTGAAAAACAGTTAACAAGCAGTTTCTGAAAGAGATTAGAAAACTGAATTCCAATATTACCAATTATATAATATTTTCTTTTCAGGTCCTCCTGGTAAACGAGGTAAACGAGGAAGAAGAGGAGAGACCGGTAAGTTTTTAAACATAAAAGTAATGCATTTTCTTTGGATGATATAAAAATATTATTTCTGGTATGTCTTCTAATAGATTCAGTTAACAATGTTTATTGGCTGCGTTTTTTAACAAATATACTCAATGAGAGATGAGAGATTATTAGAGGACACAAAAGGGATAACAACACAGCACTGTCCTGAACAACTTCTGCCCTATAGATAATTGAGGCTACAGCTTTTCAATCTTTTGCCACTTGCCGTGGTAACTGATGCACTTGAGAATGAAATTTCCAAGTGCCTGGAAAGGGGTCTAAGTCAACTTGCCATGGCCAACTCGCCATGAGACAACTTGCTGCAGGAGAAGAGTTAACACTTATAGCAATAGCACTTATATACCACTTCACAGTGCTTTACAGCCCTCTCTAAACGGTTTACAGAGTCAGCATATCACCCCGAAAAATCTGGGTCCTCATTTTACCGACCTCAGAAGGATGGAAGGCTGAGTCAACCTTGATCCTGGTGAGATTCAAACTGCTAAATTGCAGGCAGCTGGCAGTCAGCAAAAGTAGCCTGCAGTACTGCATTCTAACCACTGTGCCACCATGGCTCATATTACACTAATATTGAAAGAAAGAAAGGATGCAAAAGGAGGGATAAAATGAAATGTGAATGGCAAAAATTAAAATATTTTTAAAATTATTTTAAATAATTGAATTGTTGAATTGTTCTGTGGCGAGTTGTCCCATGGCAAATAGGCTGCAACAAGTTGATCACTGTGAGTTGGCCATAGCAAGTTGTTCCATTTTGCCTGGAAAACACGTTACATTTTTTTTTTAGAGACAAGATTCCCTTGTGTGCAGAAGTGGTTTTCTATTAGTGAACAGCCTCTTTTGCACAAGGAATGGTATTGTATGCATGAAGTATAGTGGCCTAGAGGTAGAGCTCTTGCCTCACAATCAGGAGATTGTGTGTTTGATCCTAGGTAGAGGCAGAGGTAGAGTCTCCTGCTTGGGCAGGGGGTTGGACTAGATGACCTGCAAGGTCCCTTCCAACTCTGTTACTCTGTTAAAGTATGTGTCTTCATGCAAGGATTAATGAAAAAAACCCAGAATATTTTTTTTGCCTAAAGGATATTGCCAACATTGGCATACTTTGGTGATTTGGTGCATTGTTGTACATTCATTTGTATTTATTTGTATCCCATCTTTATTATTTTTGCAAATAACTCAAGGTAGGGAACATATCCACTTAAGACTGTCACAGCATCCCCATGGTTACATGATCAAAATTTGAGCAATTGGCAATGTACTTACGATTGCTAAACTGTCCTGGGGCTCTGTGATCACCATTTGCAATCTTCCTAGCTCAGGGGTGGGCAACTGTGGCCCTTTTACAACCTGTGGACTTCAACTCCCAGAATTCCTGAGACAGCCAAGCTGGCTCAGGATTTCTGGGAGTTGAAGTCCACAGGTCATAAAGGGGCCATATTTGCCCACCCCTGTCCTAGCTGGATTCTGAGAAACGAAATCAATTGAGGAAAGTGAATTGCAGTGATTCACTTAACAACTATGGCAAAAAAAAAAAAGGTCATGAAATCAGGTGTAATTCACTTGACATCCACCTTACTTAACAATGGAAATTCCTGTCCCAACTGTGATCATAAATTGAGGACTACCTGTATATCAGTGAACGAATGAAAGTCTGTGATTGAATGTTCTTAGAATGGCATTGTCATGCTCCTGAAAAAAATCTTTCAGGAGAAAGGAAAATTCAGCTAATTTTACTCCTTAGTTCTGTTTGCATAAAATGCTATGTAGTTTAACACTAAAAGGATCAGCTGAGTCTGCAGCATGACTCAGGATAACTATGATTCTTTTGGGATTAACAGTACTTTATCTTGATGTTTCAATTAATTAACTAGTTAAGAACTGTGGTGACGCAGTGGTTAGAGTGCAGTACTGCAGGCTACTTCTGCTGACTGCTGATTGTCAGCAGTTCAGCAGTTCAAGTCCCACCGGCTCAAGGTTGACTCATCCTTCCATTCTTCCAACGTCGGTAGAATGAGGACCCAGATTGTTGGGGGAAATATGCTGACTCTTTAAACCACTTATAGAGGGCTGTAAAAGCACTATGAAGTAGTATATGTCTAAGTGCTATTGCTAACTTAAAAAAAATAACTTTCAAATCAACATAAAAGGTATAAAACACAACATAGAAAATTAATTTATTCCTAATGGTTGGACCAGAGGTAAAAAGAGCAGGAAAACATCATGCTTGTTGTATCACATATGAATTAAAGTTTTGGGATTTCAATAAGAGATTTCAGTAAAATGTCTTACGTGTTTAATGGTATGACATTAATAAAGGAAACTAAACTGTTTTCTCTTAGGAAAAAGATCCTGAGTATTAAATATATCTTTAGATTAAGATCATTAAAATCAACAAATTACTCTAGCTGATTAGCACCATATTATTAGCAAAAGTCTAGCTATATTTAAGTAAATTTCAATATCAGCTGTTCCAAATACCTTTTTGCAACATGAAGCCAAGAGAAAAAAGAAAAACGAATGAAAGTCATTGATCTGGTGGTTACAACCATCCCTTTTAATAAAGCTAACATAAAGATTTGATGTTGTTTGACAGTCTCAAGAATGGTGTGTAAAAAATTAGGAAAATGTGCCAATATTGCTTCACAAAATGTAATATTTTAAGAGGGATCTTGCACAAGAGAAATTAAAAAGGAGAGGACATTTAAGAAGCATTTTTTGGTTCTGTGATTAGTGAACTTGTCCATCTTTGGGCAAGTAGATGGCAAAAATATAGATCCAACCAACTCTACCTTTATTCTAAAATTAAATGCTATGGGGAGAAATTAATATGAGTTTACTTGGAGAAGGATGGTAGAATATAAGATTAATGTTACCTGAGAAGAATATAAATGTTAAGAGTATACCACTTCAAAATAAGTTAAAGTTTAGACCTTACCTGATTTTTTTTTCAACCCTGAAAGTAGGATGCAGCTGTTTTACGGAATTAATTCATTAATATTAATGTATCTCTTAAAGCAGCTATACTGTTTTAATGAATAATGGACAGGAACTACATTTATATAAAATCTGAAGCACTATCTTTAAAGCTGTACTGATGCTGTAAAATAATTTTAATAACTAATAGTGATCTTGTTTGGCTATGAATAATACTAATCTTCAAATAATATTAGTATTTTAAAAACTCATGTGTCTATATGTATTTCTTCTTTTCTTCTGTTTTCTTTTCACAGGACCTCCTGTAAGTACAACTGTTGTACTGTTGGATCTTCTGTTTTTCAAGATTAGGAAAAAGGTGTTTTCAATAATGGGTAAAAGTGAGCAATGTGTTAAAAGTGCCAATTTCTGTTCAAAAAGCAGTCAGTTTTATTATTAGCAATTTTTAAACTTGAATTTTGGGGGACAAGGGAAAAACATTATTTTTAAACTTAATTTCAAAACTCATGTGCATTCATTTTTTTATAGTATGCTAGACAGAGCAATCAATATTTTAATTTTATTTTATAACAGCATATTATAAAGTTATAAGAATGTGTTGCCTCAATTTATTTAAAAAATCAATGGAAGTACTCAGCTGAAGCCTCATCCATCCAAAAGTCTGCATGATTGAAAGATGTAAATGTATATACTAATCAGAATGTGCTAAGTTTGTATATTAAGTCAAAATGGCATATTGATCCTTTATCCTGGAAAAGGAATTGTTGCAATGGTACCAGGGATCAACCTCATAATATTTTTCATACCATGCAGTCTATGTATCATCCACCCATTTCATTCCTTTTTTGGACTGAATCAGTAGTAAAAGTATAAAAAAAACAGTTACTAATCTTCTACAGCCTTTCCTATACAATAAAATCTCAATTTTGGTGACCATTTGTGGGGTGTCTTCAAATTCTGAATTTATGTTATTTGTGTCTGTCAACATCCTTGACCATTTTTAACGAACAAACCATAGACTTAAAGACCATTAGTCCATTAACAAGAAATCAAGATTTAAAGGTCATTAGTCCATTAAATAGAGATGAAACCCAAAATCCATTTCACAATTGTTTTACTAACAAGCAGAATTTACATATAACCTATTGCTAAATTTTGTCTGGTACTACCCAAGTAAAATCTTGGTCTTTTTTCATTGTCTTTGTGTTAACTATGGTTGAGTAGAATGCAGTGTATTCAGTAAATTTGTCCTTTTTTGTTATATTTTGCTGAACATTTTTATTTCATTTAGCAGATTTGTACATAGAATCATGCAAGTAAGCCTAATTTCATATAGCAACATATATCTTAGCGACAAAATAGCCATTGTATGAATTCTGTTTATTGAGCTTAAACATTCTTAAAATACATCATAATTTAAAACATTACTTAAAGGAGATTAATCGTGCATATCACTTTTCTTTACTCAAACATTATTTGTTGGGAATTTATATCTGTTATTCCTCCAGCAGGCTTCTATTCTAATAGAGTTAAACTTTACTCGTAATTAACAGGCTTTTTTAAAAAAATAAAGCTTGCTAGAACTGCATTTTTCTAAGTAGCATCAGAGGTGAAATTGAGTTTGTCTACTGCTGTAAAAACAAGGCTCCTGTAGCACCTTCTAGACTAATTGATTTATAATTGCATACTTTTGTGGTCTACAATCTACTTCATCTGTGGTCTACAAAAGTTAATGACATCATAATGTGAAGTCTTTTAGATCCCAGAAGATAGTTTGTTAACTTTTAATAATATGCGTAATAGACTTCCAAAAATTACTTTGGAGCCCGTATAAGTACTCCTCCTTTGTGCTAATTATTTAAATAGCCCTACATCAGTGCATATACCCAAGAAAAGATGGCACTACATTAAGAGTGTCATTAACTGTAAGGTTCCTTAACTAAGTGACATCTTTTTAATCAGGGTTATGTTCAAGCCTGAAAAATGACAGAGTTCAATGTATTGCAAAGAGGCACTGCCATCAATTGTGAAATAATGTATTTTGGATAGGATTGAGGATTTACTAATCTGAGACTTAAAAATTCCTTTGAAATACTATTTCCATTCCCATGTAAATACATTATACCAGCACATATCAGAGCATAAATATAAATGGCCATGTTAGTTCAATATTTGAATTTTCATTGTGGTCAACTATAAGCCTTTGGGTATTTATAAGCATGTGATAGAGGCAGAATTTATTCTTTCCCCTGCAATCAATAGGTATCAATGGATCTTGCAATTCTTTTATCTACAACATATATGTTTAAAAAAGATTAATGTCACACCAATCTCTTATTTAACTTCAAAAAATCTAGAAAGCCCAGAATATAATATGGAAATACAGATGCTTAACAATTGATTCATATTCCCTTGTGTCCCAGTGTCATGTGATCCTGGGATTCTGCTTCTTGACAAGCAGAATCAATGGGAAAACCAGATTCACTACACAACCAGGTTACTAACCTATCAACTGCATATGATTCACTTAACAACTCTGGCAAGAAAAGTCAGAGTTCTGGGGCAAAACTCACTTAATAAATATCTCACTTAACAAAAAATTTGGGCTCAATTGTGGTCATAAGTTGAGGACTACCTATATTCCCTCTATCTGAAATAAAAAAGAAAATAATAGCAAGCAAGAATAACAGAAATAACAGGAAATGTGCCTGACTATTGATGTATTGGTTCAAATCAGCAGGTTTATTGTAAAATCAGTTGAGTAATAACCAGGAATGTTTATAGTATATTTACAAGCACACACATTTCTTGACCTTTTATTTTCTAATCTCAATGCTCAATTCAATTTTAGACTTCCTTACAATCTTTGATTTAATTTAGCACTTAATTACAGGATCTTCATTCCATTCTGCTTTCATAGAATTAAATTAAAGGCACATCCCTTGAAATCCAAGATGCTGATCCTTTTAAATCAGGGGTGTCAAACTGGCAGTCCGTGGCCAAATGCGTCACACGCAGGCCATGTCCACCACAGCTCTGTGCAGGGAAAAAATGTCATGTCATGTGACAGCAACGTGATGCCATGAGTGTGACACCTGTTCTTTAAACAGAACACTGTTTCCTTTCACACAATCTTCATATTTTTTTAAAAGAAGATTATTTTCTCTTCCTCCCTGTAATACATTTCAAAGCAGACCTTACATACATTTTGTCTGGAGTGGAATATAAAATTGTTTTTCTTCATATATATAAATGACTTTTTTTAAAAAAGAACTGCCTCTTGAGTCACATCAATGTGTGACTGGCATTTTTGTTGTGCTTCTTGGAATAAATAGAGACTATCATCCCTTGTACTTGATTTACAAGTACAAGGGATAATAGTCAGTGGCTTACAGTGGCTGAAGTCAGCGGCTAAGACACTAAGCTTGTCAATTGGAAGGTCAGCAGTTTGAATCCCTAGCGCTGCGTAATGGGGTGAGCTCCCATTACTTGTCCCAGCTTTTGCCAACCTAGCAGTTCGAAAGCACGTAAAAACTGCAAGTCAAAAAATAGGGATCACCTTTGGTGGGAAGGTAACAGCGTTCCGTGTGCCTTTGGTATTTAGTCATGCTGGCCACATGACCACGGAGACATCTTCGGACAGCGCTGGCTCTTCGCCTTTGAAACAGAGATGAGCACCGTCCCCTAGAGTTGGGAACAACTAGTACATATATGCGAGGGGAACCTTTACCTTTACCTTACTTGACTTACAGTCCAGTGAAATAGGCCTACAGTATATTATTATAGTTGGTTGCACAGTCAGCCAGATGTTTAAACTGGATTTGGCATTCTTATCCAGATACCACATCCTCCCCAAGGACGAAGGATAGGCAGATGTTATTGTCTAATAAGTGCTCCAGTCATTTTGGGATTGTCCCCAAGCAAGGGCACCTATTGTTACTATTGCTTTTGCTTTTCCCCCCACAGTTGTTCTATTTCTATTTGTGGGACTTCATGTTTTGTGATTTTCTCCAGTTCTTTCTCTTTTCTGCTATGTCCAGATACCGCCACATACTGTACATTATCCATACTTTTTTGTCTTTTCATTTACAGTTGTTAAGTCTGGAGTGTTATGGGCTAGTTGCTTGTCTGCTTGAATTCTAAAGTCTTTAACTTCTTCATTTTCTATTACTTTTGTCTGTTTTGTGATCCCACCAGTTCTTGTTTTCAGAAAATTGTATTTCTTGCGGATCTTCCATTCCACGATTGTTGCTACTTTGGCACGCAGTGGTCTGTAGTAAATCTGTACAATCTTCTTGCAGTAGTTAACTAGGTGGTCACCTGTTTCTTTAGTTTCCTTGCAGAGATGGCATTTTCTATTTGGCTTTGTATACATTTGTTCTTAAGGCCCCTCAGTCTCTTTCTTCAATTTTCCTGTTGTCAAATCTTTTATCTCCTTTGTCTGCTATTTTTTTTTTTATGTACTGGCTATGTAATATTTTGCCTTGCCATGTGTCTTTTCTACTCTTCATTTGGCCTTTCTTATAAGCCAGTTTGTTCTCTCCAGATAATTTTATTATTTACAATATTATATGGCCACTTATCTCATACAATGACTCTAATTGATTCACAACAATCCATAAAACATGGTTAAAAATCTATTTTTCCCCCAGGCACCAAACCATTCATCCTCATAGCTCTACTCCCACATTCTATCCTAATGCTTGGGACAAGGCCCAGATCTTCATAGCCTCTGGAAAACTAAAAGGGTACTATTTGGACTGCAAAAATCCGTATCACCAATAGATGGCAACTCACCTTAGTTCTGTACTGCAGTTTGTGTGTGCAATTCTGGATGACCACTAGGTGACAGAATTACAGAATGTAATTCAGAAAATAATACTAAATGATCACTCATTTAGAGATCATCTGAATTGTGCAGCCACAATTCTGTGGAACAGTCAAGGTAGTCCTAGCGCTCACATCTTGCTAAACAGCAAAAGGGTTCTATTCAGAAGTATGTTTTTATTTCAGACAGGTATTCTGACTTCTGACTGGCAGTAGTCTTGATTGTTTGAGCTTTCATCTTTCACTAAAATTAACCATTCAAAAAGACTGGTGTGAAGAAGTGGATTAGAGTAGGCTTCACACAGCTGTGATTATTTATGTTTAATATACTTCACCAGCATAGCCTCGGTTTATGTGCCTAATCAGTGCTATAATGCAAGACCAACATTTCAAAATAAATTATTTGAAAGATCGGTTTTGAATGAAACTAATTGGCTGTGGTTTCCTCAAATAGTGCAATTCATTAACCAGTCTTCA